TTTGTGAAGCCGACTATACAATGGAATATGTAAGGGTGATGCTCTGCATTTAAAATATTACTACAACTCGAATATATCATAAATCCATTTGTTCACATTATTGACACTATATAATTAAATGTTTACATGTCTAAAATATATAATCGTTTGAATTATATCTCTTACACAATTCAAACAATCATCGTGCAACGCACAATCTGCCATTGGTAGTAAAATAAAGGAGTGATTCTTACTGAAAACAACTTTGAAGTGTGATACAATACAAGGAATTTGTTGAGTTTGGCCTTTTGAAATGATTATTTCCCCTATTTATAGGCCTTTTTTATCAAGTAATATGCTACTCCTTTTGGAAGGAAACTAATGGTGCTAAAATGGGTTATATTATCATAAGAAATGAGAATAATGGTAAGATATAGTTTCAATCGAGTACCTATGACAAGGATATTTTAAATAGTTAAGACATTTTGCGTAGAGATAAAATAGCTCTTGTTCAAAACGAGACATAAAGAAAGATTGAGTCAAAATGTAATGGTTAGAGAGAGAAGCTCTCAACTTTAGTGAGAGAAATACTCACTAAAATTGCCTTTGCATTTGTGAGCTCATTGATCTTTGTTCGATTTCACCTTGATGACTTGGTATTTCGAATTCAGCAAGGCAGATTTTACAAAATTTGTCGAGTTTCAAAAGGTTGGTTTCGAAGATTTCAAGTTTGCTTGGAGTCTTATGTTTCGGCCAGAAGGGTTTAAGGAAGCATTGCTGCTTAATTTCGGCCAGTAGCTTATGCATAGTTCTTGAAGTTTCGTGAAGTTTTTGGTGTTGCTTGAACTTAGATTCAGATGGTAGTGCTGGTCGGATTCAATCTTCAGATTCAAGACAGTTTCTGGTAGATTTTGTTCAACCTTATTAGTGGTTTGTACTAAGCTTGAAGTTGCATCCCCCTTTGGTGATTTTGAATTTCTGAGTGCTTATATCGAATTCTGCCTCTTTACCAGGCAAATTCGAACTCAACAACAGCAATATTGGATTAAGTTCAAGTTTGTGATCGAGTTCCAGTCCCTTGGGATTGAGAATTAGTAAGCAAGCTGCCGGATTTTGAGTGCTAAGTTCATATAGAATCATGTATGTTCTTGCTATTGTTCATGAAGACAGTTTGGTTCTTGAAGTTTCATGTGTAGGGTGGGTCAGCAGGTTTTGATCTACAAATGAAGATTCAGGTTCATGGTTTGCTGGTTTTTACTCAGTGGGGCAATAAAACTTTCGAATTTTCAAACTGTCCCTGCAGTAAAACAGGATAGTTGGCTGCTTTTGCAGTCTTATGTTACTTGTTTTGGCAAAACATTCAAATTTTTTGTACTTTGTTTTGGCCTAATTCAAAAGCTTTCCTAAATTGTTTTTGAATTCAGCCTATGCTTTTGTTTGCCTAGCCTAGTACTAAGGTAGCATTACATCATCTTCATACCTCCTTGCATGTGACCAAGTTTCAACATCTGTTTCTTACTCCCATTTTTTCCTCAAGAGTTGTTTCCAGCAGCTCGGTTTGTTCCATATACTCAGCCTGCTCGAGCATGATCCTACATTTTCAACAGCTTGCTTGCTTGGAATCCCAGCTTGGTCTTGACTTATTCCAGGCGGCAATTGGGATAGAAGTAATGCACTTGTTCGAAGGTCCAATGGCCATCCAAGATTTGTGATATGATGCCTTCAGCAGATTCTATGGTGGCCCTATAACCTCGAAGGGTTTCCAGCTTTGTTTTCTGATAGACTGCTCGATTGGGTGTTCTCCAAATCCAACCTCGCAATCTATTGTTCATTTTATCCTCGTCCATACGGGTTTCTTAGTTTCAGCATTGATATGGTTCTATTCTTGCTGCCATAAATTCAAAGTATGCTTCCTATTTACAAGGTAAGCAATTGAAAGTTTCCTCTTCACCGAAGGGCTGCCCAACGTTATGGTTTTTGCTCTGGATGCCAAAAGGCAAAGAGTGCAACCTATCCCCCAAGGTAAGCAATTTGAAGATTTTTCTTCACATATTGTTGCCCAAACAACATCCAACTGGGTAAACAGATTTCGAAGGCATAAATATGAAGGCAGCCTTCGAATCCAGCTATGCAGAATACATCAAATCAGTTCAGATTCAAATATTATCTTTGAAGATCTAAAGGTCCTTCAAGCTATGATTCACAGCCAGCATGGTTATGAACTCTATTGACAGATTCGTTTTTCATTTCCTTCAGGAGGATTTGGAACCGAACTACAGTTTAGCACTTCGTGTACTTGTTTTACCGAAGCTGTAATGCCTTGATTCATGCTCCGTCACTTGTTTAAGGATCATTTGATCGTTTTAATGTTTTATTTCGTATGCTTGGGTAGACCCGAAGTAGTACTCAAAATTTTGATCAATATAATTTATTTACCAGATCCCCAAAAAAACAAAAAATGCTCTCGCTCAAACTAGCATAAATTTAGTCACACGAACAAAAATCAACACAAGGGAGTTCAAGAGTGACATAAGACACAATACCCCCAAGTCATCGAATAACAAGAGTGCAAAGAACGTTGTTCAATCCACAAACCCAAGTCATCGAAAAATAGATAAAAAACACAGAAAATAACGTAAAGAACGCTGTTCAATACTTCATGTGTGCCTCTTTGCTAGTTATTACCAAATCTCCGGTTATCAATATATAGCACCAAAATGGAAGGATGGCTGTGTATAAATAGTTTGCCCTACAATTCTAACATCGTCAATGTTCAAGAAAAGCTAGTCGAAGTATACTGATATCTGAGGGATTTCGATATCATTATCTTCATCATCCTCGCATGCTACTACTATATCCAAGTGGCGGCGGTATGGTGGCAGCTCAGCCTTTGCCACTTCCCGTGCGAGGTCTACCATCTTCTTGTCCATTCGCTCCTTGTGCCTTGGGAACATGCTATTGTAGAGCAAGCAACTTCCAAATGAAATACTATAGGCATTCAGCCCCTTATCCTCGAGCCATTTGAGCAGTTCCCGAAGTGTAGGGTTACCTTTGATTATCCATCTGTCCCACAGAGTCCAGCTCAAGTCCTTATACTTGATGACCTTAGGAGGGACAGGTTCAGCCATGGAGAATAAAGGTAGAGCTAGATTAGCAAATGTGTTACGATAGTCTTCCAACTTGTGCCCTCCATTAATGACCTTGTAAAGCTCTAGGCAAACCAAACCGGTAGCCATCGCCGTGGAAGTTGCAATTGCGGGGATAATCCGTCCAGCAATGAATTTGGCTTTCAACTTATCGACTTCGGGAATGCCATAATTTCTAGCCCTCATGTTAGCAAGTCCAGATATCAGGTCCATGTGGTAATTTGTATCATCATCCTGCATTTTCAATAAACAATGTCGAGAAAAAGAGTAAATATGGAAGTAATATGATTTTTGACGTTTTTGTAAAAATAAAAAACATATTTCACAAGATTGAAGGATTTAAAATACAAGGGAAAAGAACCATATTTTCCATCCATCATGGAAGAGATGCTGATCTACTTTCCATGTTTAGTGTGATGACTGGAAAATGGGTTGGTAATTATCTTTAGTCATTCTGAAATGGATTGCAGACTCTTAGTTTAAAGTCCGCCATGTAACTTTCGAAATAAAATTGTGAAAGCTCAGCCTATGTATGGCTCATGTTTATAAACACTAGTCACTTTTATCCACACATTTCGAGGACCCACAACCAGCTAATCCACCACTAATTTCTATTTATTT